GAAACCAGTTATGTTTACCACCTTGAGTTATTTATAAAAAAGTAAAAAAATAATAAAGATATAAATCAAATCAATAAAAATAACCTCTCAGACACACACACACACACACACACACACACACAGAGAGAGAGAGAGAGAGAGAGAGATCCTATATTAAGAACACTATATTTCAGGCAGTAAAAAAAATCATTTTATCTCCACAATATGCACACATCCTAGGACCTAGGCATACTACATGGAATTGGAAGCCCCAGATATCCCTCAACAGGTATCACATGGCTTATAAGTGATGAAATTGTTACTTTGTATATAGCATTTCAAAAATGAACTCTGGATATCCAACTTTTACAGTTTCTTAGGAATAGGAACCATTGTTAGATTACATTATTAGGAAGAAAAATCTATTCTTAACTTGCTTTATATTAGAAATATCAGGAAAAGAGCACTGATGTATTTCTCTCTTCCCATAGTGTTCAGATGGCACCAAGCATACCTGGGAGCAGGTACAGGTAGTCCTCAACTTACAACTGCAATTGAGCTCAAAGTTACAGTTGTAAGTCATTGCCTGTCATTGAGTCACCAAGTGACTACACACAATTTTATGAGATTTTTTAAGGAAACACTGCAGTTGCTAAGTGAACATGATGGTCTTTAAGCGAATCCATTTTTGCCAGTGGGCATTTTTTTCTGGAAACCAGAAATAAACACAGGTTTCCGACAAAAAAACAAATTATGGTCAGGTGACCCTGCAACAGTGCAGTCAGCTGTAAATGCAGATCAGTTGGCAAGCATCCAAATGCAGCCATGTAACAGCAGAGGGGAAGACCCCCAATGGAACTTCAAAACCTGGTCATAAATAGCTCTGGGGAGCCCTGTCTTAACTTTGATCAGTTGCTAAGCTACCGGTTGCAAGTCAAGGACTACCTATATTGCAAAAATAATGGTAACATCCCAGTAGCCAGATGCCTTTATTGGAAGATATTGTAATTAGATCTTGAGACATGGCTATGTTAATAACATTTTCATTATTCTTTATGCAAAATGTTCAATAATCATTACCATGCAAAAAATGTACTAGTTTTTCTAAAAAAAATGTGAACACTTTGGATTTTAAATTCCCACAAACAGAATCCATTTATCATGGGAAAAGATACGTGTCTCATATCTTCTCTGGAAAATTCAAGAATCATCTGAAATACTCTGTTTAGCAGCTGTCTCATTCAGCAACTATTCACAAAGATGATACTTAATAAAATAAAAAAAATATTTTCTAGTCAATTCACATACTAATGACCAGATTTTGTGCACCTGACAATATACACTGGAATGACAGTAACACTGGCACTGCAGCATAGGTAAATGAGATAGCAGCAACCAGTGATCATCTCTCTTTCTTTGTGTCATATGTTTGTTTATTGCCCATTTTGTTTCTAATTTAAGGTATGCATGGCAATTGCTAAATGAGGAGATGGTCTATCAGTGACTGGAACTAAGTTCCAGCCATGGGTAGTGGTTCTCTAGACGGTAAAAAGACAACTCTGGATTCAAGGCAAGTTTGACATTTTCAATTGGGGTGGCATTTTATTTGTCACTAGACTATCCATCAGCATAGTTTGCTTTGTTCTTTCAATATAAAATTATCAAAAAATCTGACTACAGACATTACTAATAAATTTTTGAATTGTACATTGTTGCCAATTCAAACTAACCTGTCCACATTCGGAGGTTGGAGAAGGCAGGAAAGGGCCAGCTTCCAACACGCAGCATACATATGCAGTGTGCAAGAAACCAATCCCTTCCTGTCCTCTCCTGGCTCCCAGGAGCCCCTAGGTTGGTAGTGGCAGGCAGATGCAGCACAGTTCTCATTCCACACATGGCAGCACTGAAGCCAAACCTGATGGGTACAGTAAACCCTGGGTGGAAGTGGAAGAAGGCGGGAAAAGAAGTTGAGGGAAGGTGGGAAAGGGCTAGCTTCTGACATATTGCATACTTATGCTGTGTACCAGAAACCAACCCTCTCCTGCCCTCTCACGACCTTCCTTCTAAGCATACTGGACCACCACCGAGTATTGAACTTGAACTATGCGATTTTTTACGCTTATTGACTTGAGAACAAAATGGACTTATGAAGTGCCTCTCAGGATATAAACCGTTTGCATGTCAGGGATTGAATGTACTGTACATAATAAAAATATAGAAAATATATTCTTTATTAAACATTTTGAAAAGTTATTGACAGTTAACAGAAAGAGAATTCTGATATTTTCTTTATATTATTATTTAAGGCCAATTTCTTTTAAATTTAAGTCAGATTTTTCAATTATGGATATCCTTTTTCATTAATACATTAATAAAACCATTTATTAATAGATTTTTATCCTAATTGTCTGTCTGTCTGTCTGTCTGTCTGTCTGTCTGTCTGTCTATCTATCTATCTATCTATCTATCTATCTATCTATCTATCTATCTATCTATCTATCTATCTATCTATCATCTCTTGGTCAACTCAAGGCAGCAAACGTATATTTAATACTCCTACCCTTATTTTCCCCACAACAATTTGTGAGGAGATGGAGCTGAGAGAGAATGATTGGCCTAAAGTGACCCAGCTGGCTTTCATGCTTAAGGAAGGTTTAAAGTTCAGTCTCCTGGTTTCTAGGCCAGCACTTAACCACAATAGAAAATGAATGAAATAACACTGATATGTAATATTACTCATAGCCTAAACTTTAGTATTAAAGGACATAGCATTCTCAAACTACATTAAAACAAATCGTCTATAAATAATCTATCTATCATCTATTTATGTAGAGATAGAGATAAAAATATAGAAAAAACTTTCCTGAATAAATTTGGTAGGTCATTGTGTGACACAGAACAGCTGAACTAGATAGGTCTGCTTGTTCCAGTGTGGATTGTAGAATTATAGGGTTGGAAGAGGCCATTAAGCCACTGAATGTAACAATCTACTCAATGCATGAATCTCAGTTAAAGGAACCCAGATAAGAGTTGTTTTTCTCTGAAGGTATGACTAGTCTATTTAACACTGATTATCTTACATTAACTTTATAAAATGTATTGCTACATTTTGTTTTGTTTTCCTATTTTAAGCAACAATAAAATATAAACGATTCAGAAAGCTATCATTGAAAAAAACTGATCAAGCCAGTAAAAGATCACAGACACTCCATATAACTTTTACTGACAAATAAAAGTTAATGCGACCAATCATTTGGATTGTGACCTGTCTCTGTCCAGCCACTTTCTAATCAAAGAAATTACTAATATATCAGACAACTTCTGATTATTATCATGTGAAAAGATCACAATTTAAAATGACAGAGGAAACTTTTTTCCTCTATTTTGTTAGGAACATAAAGATAATTTTACATACTTTAAAAGCACAGACAGCAATTCCAGCTCATTTCCACTTTACTTACATATTTCCTTCAATTCTGACAGGAAGAATATAGAATTTTACTTGTAATCCATTTTTAACAAATTACCAGCATCCCACTTTTCCAGTGTATTCTGAATTATCTGAGTTGTGATATTAATACAGTACAGAAGTTACGTGAGTCCTCCAATTCCAAAATAAATTTGATTAAATTTAGAGAAAATATTGATCAATAAAATGACTGGATATTCTATCTCCAGTATTTATGGATATTAAACTTTAAATGTTCATCTAGAAAAAATGCTGAAGACTTGGATTCTGAAGCACTGCCACATGAATTTTTAGTTAGAACATCTAAGTATCTAAAACACCATTATTTTATCATTTGTTCTTGTAAAATTTAAAAAAAACCCACAGAATTTGCTAGATTTCTAGTATACCTAACTCAAAGGTAAATAGTTCAAAATGAAAATGGAATATAAACAAGTATATTGTCTGAGATAACAATACAATTGTATTGTTGCTGTAGATAACCAATCCTCCCTAATTGTTTCAGATTATATAGCGCTGCTCCTCTAGCAACCCAGAAAAAAGTTAATAAATATATGCTGATGCAGAAGAATTCAAACACATCTTTAAATCCTAGTTTAGGAGAAAAATAGGCATGAACAGCCTTATCAATTACTCCTACAAAATATTATAGAAATATTTGTTTAGAACACTATAAGAAGGAAACTAGATTTCCCCGAAAATCCTGCATAGACATTCCATTTGTTTTCCATTTATATTCTAAAGATTCTAGTAAGATATATCCTACTTTATAGCCTATCTAGTGCAAAAAAAAAAAAAAGAGGTTCAAATAATTTGTCACTGAGTGGCCTTCCGGCAGATACAATTTAAGGCAAACATTCATATTGTCCTAAAAATAAACCAAAATAACCCCAGGTGAATCACTTTGGGATCCTTGAGGAAAGATTTGAACTTAAGCGAAGAAAATAAAGCCATTATGCATTATTTGCTGTTATGATTCCATAAAAAGGCATCCCACAATACCTATGAACAGAGCTTCAAGCACCTTAATTCTGACTATATATATTCAACTGCCTTCTTACAGAGGTTATCTACTTATGCTGCATTCATGTATAAAGCAAATACACCCATTTGCAGCTTTATATAAAATAAATCTGCTTCAGTTTAATTTTATATAAGTAGAATACTACAAATGTTTACTTCGTTTATTTTTCAAGTTCTTAAAAGATCTCAAGGGCCATTTTAAAACTGCTTGAAGCAGCAAAGTGAAGAGATAATATGCATAGGTAAAACAAGCACAAACAGTGATTAAATTATCTTTCGCTACAAAGGGGTAAGAGAGTGGAATATGGGAACAATGTTACTGCTAGTTCTGAAATTTAAAATGAAGAAAAAAACCATAGACACGGGAGTGTAAATCTTTTCCATTGTAAAAGTTTCGCAACTTTTCTAAAGTATGCTAAAATTTTGACAAACAAGAACCCGCCTAACTCCAAATACACCATTTATTTTAAGGGAGGATGGGGTGTCTGAGAGCTAAAACAAACCCCTGGCCCCGACATCTGGATCTTACCGCGATGAGAGCGCTGCTACGACCGTGCTGTTGCTGTTCACCGCCCGCGGTGTCACCATCCAGGCCATTGACTCCAGGCCTGTCGGAAGAAGTGGAGGTAGACGCAGAGCCCCCGGCCCCCGGGGCCTGAGCAGAGGAAGGCGGATGCGAAGGAGTCGTCGGAGGTGGCGCAGTGGGGGGAGGAAGGGGCGGCTGGCGGTGCTTCCCCGCTCGCTTGGCCTTAGCCTGCAAGCAGCGTTGGTGAAGGGCGAAGGTCTGCTGGCGCTCCAGGTCCAGGCGCTCCGGGGACACGGCCTGGTAGCGGGACTCGCAGGCACTGTGATGTCGCCGGCAAAGCTCGATGCGCCGACGGAGCCGCTCCATCACCGCGCTGTGCTGCGACACCACGAACTCCGCCATGGGGCAAGGGGGCAGAACCATGAGCCGCGAGCGGAAAAAAGCAGAGCACCGGGAGCAGCCGGCTCTTCACTCCGCCATAGCTGGTGGCGAGGGACACCGGGCACTTCGGAGCCCAATTCTCCCTCTTCTTCTGCCGTCACCACTACCTTTCCCAGGCGTGGGCGCCCCACTGCCGCCCGACCCCACCGAGCCCGCCTTCCCGATGCAGGCCCGGCGATATCAATCCCCTGCCCCAAGCTAGCTCAGGCCCAGAGCCACCCAAACCTCCCGTTTCCCATTGTTATCCGCGCCTCAGCCACCGCCATCTTGAAATTGTTTTACCCCTTTTCTCCCCCACTTGGGAAGCCTGCCCAGTCCGAAGCGGGTGGACTTTCCTAGGTAGTTGCAGACGTCACGGCGCACACACTCACTGGCAGTAGGCGTTAACAGACTGCTCAAAGAACCAATCGGAGATGACAACGGAAAAGAAAAGGGAGGGGGGAAAGCTGGGGGAGGGGATTTCCCTTTCCGTTTCTCTCCCCCCCCCCCTTTCTTACGACCTTTCCGGAAAAATAGAAGGGGCGGAACTTTATGATTGACAGGAAATGTCCTCGTATGCAGCTTGTGCTGGGATAGCTGAAACTTATAGGCCTGCCCCTCGCATACGTATTAGGCAATAAGTGTAGCAATACATAAAAGTTAATACTCGGGTTTACATTGAAAATATGCAAATGAGCAATAAAGGCCGAACCAAGAGTTTGAATTCTCACCAGCCTTTCCTTTAAATTAAGGACAACTGCCATTTTAAGTGAATTATTCCATGTATTCAGTATGCACTGATTTTAAGTTTTCTTTGCCGGACTAACGATTAACATTGTGTGAAAGAATAACCTAAGTTTGGGTCTTCTTAAAACCCAGAAATTTTTACGGGTACTAATCTCCTGTTTATGTAATATAGCAACACTGTCCCCCGACAATAATAAATTAAGTGCCGCCCAACTCTCAACAATCCTGGGCGTTGAGAATAGTCTTAGATTAACCCACGGGATAACATAAATGCTAACTGAAGAAATCTAATTGGAAAGCACGAAAACACTCAAAACGGTTTCTTTTCCTCTTGCTTGATGGTACAGTTCCGCTCAGAGGGCTCAAGTACACCAGTGGACCCAACACCCTCAAAAACCAGCTACCAGCAAGAAATTTGATCAGGTCGGAATGCAAACTCTTAGATGTTTGGAGAAAAAAGCCCAAACGTGTATTTGGAATGTGTAAGCATTTGCAGATATTGACCAGATTTTAAACATACTTAGTGGAAGTATCAACTCTTGAACAGGTAGATACATACATTTATGTAACTTCCAGCATATCTATAATTTATGCTTTTTAAATTGCTGATAAGTTTTAGGCTTGTTTATAGTTTAAGCATATTACTTGTTATTTATGTTACAATATATTTGGTGAACATTTGTGTGTTTAAAGCTAATGCTGGAAAAAGAATGAATCCAACAATTTATTGGATCAAATGAAGCAATTTATTGCCAGCAGATTGGTATTCGTTACCTTAAGGAAAAGTATATTACACATTTAACATACAAACAACTTTTTAAAGTTTTAAGGCCACATTCTTGGGACATTTCAAAACATATCTGCAATAAAGACTATTTTATGTCATAAAAATATTCCAAATAAATAGAATTATTTTGGCATACAAACTTGCGCCAAGCTATCACAGCATAATTTTGAAGTCATAAATAATCCAGGAAGCAAATTTATAATTACTGGTAGCAGAAAGTTTAAAACGTAAGAAAGGCTACTCATAATAATCCCATTTCTTCTATAATTAATGGCTCATATTTTAGAAATATGTGCTGTGTAAATCAAATGTGTATTAACTATGTATCAATAATTAAAGTATTTTCTATGGTGGTCAATTTTCATATTGAAATTGTGCATATTATACTAGAACAGGGTTATAAACAGTGATATGAACTTGTGCACTTTGAACACTTCAGAAAGATTAACACATTTCATGAGCTCAGATTTCGAAAAGCAAGATGCTAACTCTGAAACCAATACCTCAATATAGTATTATTCATACCTTTTAAACAATCCTGATTCAAAATATTCTCAGTAGGACATTTAAAATGCAATGCAAACAATTTAATTACTTTGCATTTCAGTTTTTCCACAACATAGTAATAGTTCTGAAGGAAGATCTATCAATTCTTCTGTCTTTAGATTATGAAAGCCAACCCCCCAAAATATTGCAGACTAGACAGTAGAAAGATAGTGATCTATGTTTCTTTATTGATCAAGTAAGCTTACATTTGTTTATAACTTAACCAATATATTTATATGCATACTGCATCTTCAGATTTTTACAACAGTCAGGACTTGTCACAATCTTGTTTACCAACACTTGAACCCTGCATCAAACAATACTGGCATTTAGAAAATTATAATAGAGAAGGCAAAGAGGTGCAAAGAAATGTATTCTTAGCACCATATTTAGCGTCACAGGGGAGCTGGGGCCACATTATGGAGACCTAGGATATCCTTTGCCATTTATGGTTAATCGTGTTCAGCTCTCCTGTCAACTATAACATCCCCATATGAAATGGGGTAAGTATCCTAAGAGAGAACACACATTTAGTTAAGATCTTAATTTTTTTTAAAGCATCTATATCTTCGTATGTTGCATATGAACTGTGACTGATTTGAAATGGCTACAATGCACTTTCTTTTCCAAACAAAAGTAGTCAAATATCTTATTCATTCTAAAATTCTTTAGAATATTTCCTAAAAGTTTATTATAAGTCTATTTCTTTCCAACAAAAAGTTCAACTATGTCAGTGTGAAAATATTTCCTACATTGGAATGGTTTTCCATAGTCTTTTAAAAATCATCCATTAAATTACCAATTCAGCACGCCAAATTACTTGGAAATTATAAATGACTTTTATATTAATTTTTTGCTTTATTATTCATAAATAGCAGATGACAATCTTTTCCCGGTACTAAGTAGTCTTAATAAGGCTTCACAGGTTACACTGGGCATTTAAAAAAGTACATTTTCACTAACATGAAAAAAGACTAAATCATGCAAACAAAGGAGTATTCTGAAGAGGTCTTATGCATTCATTCTTCCCAGTATCCTGGAGAAAGGAATATATGTTTCACAAAAAGTGAAGACATTGATCAAAAAACATTTAACCCAAGCACATTAAAATTAGTACTAGTATTAAATAGCCACTGCAATTCAATGATGTAGAAAAAAACAGAAGAAACTAGGGGGAATAATTTCATTTAAACATCCTGACTAGACAACAGAAACAAACTATGGAAGTAAGCCACTGATTGTATTAAATTGAATCTACCAGTGGAATGGATGCCGAGTTTATAAAGCTCTCTTTATAAAGGACACAAGGAGAAAAATAAAAACTCCTGCACAACTACTATAGATGTGCAAGGAATGATGCTGGAATACAAGTCAAAGGCTGCAAGCACTGTAGCTTCAAATGAGGATAATTCTGCTGTTTTGGAAAGATAACAGAACTGAGGGTTCTGCAAAATAACCTGAAAAACAATTTTTAGTTTTGTTTTGAAAAAGCTATGTATATATATCTGAACAAAAGTACAAAATCTTAGTTACTCTGAAAAATTCTTACCCACCAAGTAGAAACTGGGAGTGTTTTAATTCAGTGCCATATATTTAAATAAAGAACAGGTGGCAAAATATTTCTTCTTCGCTTTCCTCCATCATGCACTTCAATATAATATAGAGGATTATGCTTTTCTTAAGTAAACACTCTGTATTCTACATAAGATTTCTGAATAGCTAGATACTCAATGCAACATAGTTTTTAAAAATTTATTCATCTGGAACCCCCTAGATTCACAACATTTTGATACATGAAGAGCACTGACATTCAGTGTTACATATGCCAAGTTTTCACATGCTTATTCCTCAGCCACAAATACTGACATTTGCTTTCAGCACAAATAAAACTTGAAAGATCAGCTTGCCTGTGCCTTTTATCCTGTGCATAAATGTACATAAGATGGCAACAATAAGAAGGTGAGCAACACTGTCCTGTTTCACAATGTTTGGACCCAGAAATAAGTAGTGCTACCTTCTGAGAAGAAGAAACACAATTTTAACAGTGAGATAAACAAGTGTATTCTCTAGCAGCTAAGCTACATCTGAAAGAACAGTACAGGAGAAGCAACAGCTGGAACAGAAGGACATTTTTAAAAAACGGCGAGGGGGGAAAACACAAAAACTGAAAGCAAATTCCAAATTGAGAAAAAGTTCAAAATCTAAACGAACAAGGCAATCCAGTCTCACTAAAATCTGCTCCTAAATTCAGACTAGTGCAAACACTGTTTTAACTGAGCTCTATCTGTGACCAATCTGAGTATTTCATGGCCACGTTTTTCATTAACAAGAAAGTTTGAGCACTTGAAGATTGCTTCAAATGGATTTTAACTTTATCCTACATTTAACATGATCATACTATGAGAAATAAGAGTTGTATAAGAATTTCCATCTTTGTAAGAAAGAAAAGACTTATAAAAACTTTACATCTTGTATTTTTCTTAAGGGTTGCTCTTCACTCCCATTGATAGATTAATACATTAATTTAAGCCAAAAGTTTTGAGACTGGTAATTCTATCATCTATTTAAAAACAAAATAAAAATGTTAGTTTTTGTAACATTCCAGAAATTCATAGCTGGGTTGTGTTAAACACATTCTTTTTCTACAGGAATATTATTTAGAAACACAATTGCAAATATTTGACTGCTAAACACTTTTCACTGCAGAGTATTTGACAGGAACCTATGGATGGTGAATTTTGAAGATTTTTTATTTTCAGCAAAAAGGTATCCATGGCCCTCTCCCAAAACCATATCAGAAAAATTCATCAGATTAAGTTTTTAGGATATTTCATTCTCTTCTTGGTTTTCTATTTCTGGGAGACCTATTCACAGTTTCTTCCTCCTGCAAATAAAACAACATATAAATAACCCAGCTTCATTCAGATATTTAACTTTAAAAGTAATAAGCAGATATTTTCAAAGATAATTTATTGAGATCTCAGGAGTAATGTACATCAGTAAATGTTGTTTACTTTGTTTTATCAATTGTTAGCACTACTGAATAGAGACAAGCTACTTCTTAAAACCCTAAGCCTGACTTTTTAGCTGTCAATCAAATTTAACTATTATCCCACATGCTTATTTCTTTCAATATTAAAACAATAAAATGTTTCAACTCTAATATAAAGGATAACAGAAAAATCAAGTTCAGGGTTATTTTTGCAAATGGCATTACAAAACCTTAAGATTTAATATTTTTAACATTTGACATTAGTGTCAACAAT